CTGATATTGATCTAAATTGCATTTTAGATGTATAAATTGTTTAATAAGTCAACTAAACAAAACTCACAACAGCCCTGCCTCTTAACACACCTCCTGTCACACCCTTAAATTAAAGTTTCCCTCTTTGTCCATTTCGCTGATGGTAAGTATAGCATATTCCTATCTCTGTTAGTGGGTCCTTCAATGGATAAAAAATTCAAGTCCTAGCCGGACAAAAATTTTACTTGCCACTGGCCAAACTGGAGGGTCTGTGGCACAATCGCCAATGTTGAATTTTCTACAAGTACCACACACTTATTGACATACACACAGTTAATAATTTGTATAAAACATTAAAATGATGATTATTTCACACCGGGTTAATCACTGAATTTGTTTTTAATTGGTAGGGAAAAAATTGTCATAGTGAACACTTAATTAACCCCTGTACTATCAGTTTAGGATTTTCTAGTACATTAGCACAAACAGTCCAATCATTGTCCTAGTAATTGTAATAGGACAAAACGTGCTAATGACTGTTAAGTATGCCAAGACTGATTCTCTGCTCTGTTATGGATAACTGATAATCAACATTTTGTAAAAAAAATATTTTTCTTGAGTAACAAATGTGTTAAGTATATTTTACTTCTTTAACTTTTCTATGGTTGAAAGGCTGTAAATACTCGCTGATCACAGTTATTCAGTGTTATATTTTGGAAACACATTCTGCAGATTTGAGAACTGTTTTCATAGACAATTGTGCAGCTGCATTTTGGTTGGAAAGAAAATGACGGGTAATATAACTAGCAAAAACAATACAAATCAAAGGAGATTGTATTTAATGACAAAAATGAACTTGTGTAATCACTGTTTTTATTTTCTGCCATAGGCAGAAAGTAGCAGAAATCAGCACTGTTTCAACAACATAATTAATACAATGCAACTTTAAAGAGAGTAAGTGGTCAGGCAAATCTGGCAGTGGAACAAACTGGGCACCATTTTCAGTTTTGTATGATTGCAGTAAATAAAGAATTCCAAGTAAGCTGTTTAATTCTCCATAGAACGACATAACAGCTATTAGGTGATTTTATCATTTCAATTGCAAAATGGGTAAGCAGCTCACTCTATTAGATCCCATTTGAAAATTACAGAATTGGATTCACAGTGCATTGACTATAATTATAAGAATTACCTCTTTCTCTTGTTTTGTGGGGAAAAAAACCCCACTACCATCACACATCCTTTACTGTCTTGTTCTGCCGACTTTAAGAACATCCAAATGCAGAACTATGTGACTGTTTTCTTTTCACATTTTCTTTTGCCAATTACTGACTTTTGGTATTATATTTTAAAATACATATTTTCTGTTTCTGTCCAACTTTTTTTAATTTATATAAATATACAAACTTTCTTATGAATATAACATACAACATTATCTCCAAGCTGGAGAGACTTAATATAATAGAAGTGGGATAGATTCACCATATATAATTTCATAATGCTGATGGTCATTGTATATATGTTGCTGCCCTGTAGTTTGTAGCATTAATTTGCGGCAGCTAACTCTGACAATAAACTGTCTTTAAATGGCCTTAAATGGCCACTAACATCACCCAAACCACTTCATCTAAGTGAAGGGGTCTAGATGCAGTGGCCCTTTAGTTTTAACCCTACACTATAAAACATTGCAGTTTTGTAGAAACTGCAATATTTCAATTGCAGGGTTAAACACATCTCTAGTGGTTGTTCTCCTGACAACCACTGGAGGCGCTTCCCCTGTGAGAAGACCTAAGTCAGACTCAGTTCTCAATCAAATGCTGCTACCAAGAAGGACTTGATTGGTGCAGAGTGGCAATTTACCATGCATTCACTTTAGCCTCCCAATGCTTCTCTAAAGTCTTTATGATCTCAGCCAGGGAGGTAGAGTGGTGTGGTGAGCACAGACAGGTGAGGAAGTAAACACTTTTTGGGCAAGCCTATGACAGGGATAGACAACATTTGTTTGACAGTCCAGATCCTCTGGATTATTCTCCCCTGATGCATTACCAACATTACGGTAAATGTTGTCCACAACATCAGAAGTACCAAAGGTTGCCTACCTCTGGCTCACAAATTATAATGTGTAGTTTAAATAAATAACAACATCGCTTTTTGCTAACAATACTTTTTAAATTAAGCTTTCATATATTTGACACATATCTAAAGTCTGATTAGCCAATCCAAATGATTTAATAAATAAGCATACATAAATTAGAAAGAGAATTTCCATGTGTGTCACAGATGTAGCTCATCTACGACACATTGTAAACTTTAATTTATGGTCAGACTTGTTACAATGATCACCCAAATTCTGTCACAAAAGAATTAACTTTTTTGTATGACTTTATTTCAACTTCACTGATTTGATCCATTCATAATACCTCTTTGGAAGGCATGGAGCATGTATGACAGTCACTGAGCTGGAAATGCTTCTCTTACAGAAGCATTAAAACATACACCTCAGGAGCCACATTATATACTATTTACAGCAGTAGTAACATTGGTTCCATAGAACTTGGGAAACCCATATTCACATCCCGATCAAACCACCGTATCAGTAAATGTCCCTGGGAAAGGCACCTAGTCATATATTCACCTACCTCAAAAACCTCATAGATTGTAAGCTTGCATGGGCCTTCTGGGCCTTCTTCATCTCTAAATATACCCTTTCTAATGACCTTTTCTAATTGTAAAGCACTGCAGAACATGTTGATGCTATATAAGTGCTAATAATACATTTGATTCGTGATGTAAAATGGCTTATACTTATTGAATGTACCTGTGTTGTTCATTCCTTTCTGGTGCATGGCTCCAAAATATACTGATTGGTGCACCTTTACCTATAAACTCTCCCTCCCCTGCCCACTTATCATTATATTGCATTATACTGATTAAAAAGAATACATCAGGTGTAATGATTTTATGCCATATCTATGTTGGAATGAGTAAAAAATAAAAAAGATACGTTTGAAAATATTTTAGTTTAGATTTAGGCAATCTCTACTCAAAAAACCAGCTATTTCATTAAGTACTTCAGCTATCAAAAACATTTTGGATGCAGTACTTTTATAACACATCATATCTATTTATTATCGTGCAATGTCTTTCTTAAGGCGTTATGAAAAATGATCAGTTATTAAGAACAAATGCACTATTATTAGTTGCTTGACTTTTACTGAACACAGCAGTTATTCTTTGAAGCCTTCTAATATCATCTAGTGCTCTGTCTATAGAAGCTGATGAAACATTGCCAAGGCCTTTGAAATGCTGCATTTTCATCCCAACAGTGATCCGCTTGTGCAGTCGGAACATTTATTATATATTTCTGCCTCCATTCTATTTTCCTCCATTATTAATGGAAATGCACTTGTGTGTGCTGCGTGTACCTGTAATGAGTTTCCTTGTATTTAAGCTCATCTCTCACTTGAAAGCAAACTCTATAAGCTTTTGTTTTGAAATGTATAGATATGAAAAGCATATTTTAGCCATAAAGCCCAACTTATGTTTCCTGAGGCTTTTTCTCAACATTACAAAAAAAAAAAACTCTTCATCTGTCATGGCTCTGTTCAGCATATGTTTAAAATACACATTATATAGCTAGATGTTAGCAGCATAGGGGGAGGGAAATTATGTCCACATAACATGCATTATTATATGTATTATGTCAACATAATATGTATTATTATATGCATTGAGTCCACATATGAATTCATTTATAAATGCTTGTGGTATTTGTAGGAAGCTGCTTCACAGAAATTTCAGCGGTTTTGTTACAAATAAACATAAGTCAGATATATAAGCATGTGTTCTTATCTTTTTTTCTCATATATACCGCATGTGACAAGATGGTATTTTTGCTTTTATTGCAAATATAAGACAGGGAAGCTTAACAATAAAATATTTATTCTAAAAATGTGTTTGCATCTGAGTATTGCTATAAAGCAGGAGTGCCGAAAAGGTAGGTCCCCAGATATTTTTGAAACTACAGCTTCCACTATGCTTTGCCATTCTAAAATTATTCCAAAGGCATGCAAAGCATTATGGGCATTGTAGTTCTACAACATCTGGGAATCTAGATTTTGGGCACCCTTGCTATAAAGGATTAACATTAGAAGTGGAGCAATGTTTCCTCGCTCTGTCAATGTTTTATCAGGGTTAAATGCATCTCAGCCCTAGTAAATTTAGCAATGAAGGGGTTACATTGGACTGCTTAATCATTAAAATACAAAATGCATCTGATCCTGCCAGGAAGTTCTACTGAAACTAATGGCTCTGCTTATTTTACAAAGCAAATCATTCACAGACACGGGCAGAATATAGCAATTCTACAGACTACTGCAATGTCGTTGAAAAAGGACTTTTCTACACATGCAGAGTTGGCTGGTATATCATCATGTTACAATAAAAATCCAGATGAAAACATATTTGCTTGGCTGCCTACCATAAAATAGTCCTTTAATCCAAGCCTCCATTTTCTCTCAACTACATGTTTCTATTCTCTTCTGTCTAGTAATATCATAAGAAAGCAAGCTGAGTGCAAAACAGCTTAACACAAAATATTCAAACACAAAAGCACAGAACCAAAAATAGGAGATGCAGTTACGCTCAAGTAAGGAAATCCATATCTCTGCATGAAACAGCAGACCAGGAAAACAGACATGATGAAATGTATAACAACATTCTTCCAAAGGTAATTTTTTCCCCCCACAGAGTGTTTTTAGTTAAATATATATAAATATCTATATATATATATATATATATATATATATATATTGGAAGGCATGGCCTGAAGTTGTGGGAGGGGCTATAGACCTACTTAAGGGACTCCCCCCTTCCCTTACTTACCTTCGTTGGTCTAGACGAACAGGAGGCTGACACTCGCCGACTTCCGTTGCTCCCGACTTCCTGGTTCGTGACGTCACTTCCGGCGAGACGCGGCGCACTCCTCTGACGTCACACGTGGACTTCCGCCGGCTCCACAGGCTCTACAGGCCCACCAGCTCTCCGGCTCTCCAAACCCGGCCCGAACTGCAGGCTTTCAACCCGGCATCACCGGCCCCAGAGCCGGACACTCGCCGGCCTCCAGCCCGACCGGCCTCTCCCTCCAACAGACCGTTTTTGGTGCAGTAAGCAGGGCTCCTACTGGGGATAGCAGCTGGCCTGGGTGCAGGACAAAGACTCCGTTACCGCTAGGAGTCCCTGTTCCCGTCCGCCGGCGAAACCCAGTATTAAGGGGGAATTTATGATGGTTAAAATGGGGGGGGGACATACATACGGCCTGGGCGGGAACAGGCCTCAACCAGACCCCTACATCGTAAGGGCCCTGTTCCCACTGGCAACACACAAGGGGGGCATTTATGGGAGGCTTCAGGGTTAAAACCCCGGTCTACCTATCTTTCACAATTTTACAAAGAGGGGCCATGGTACGTTCCATCGCTGGCTGACCCTTAGTTCAGCCAGTTTGCAACCTTACATAATTATAACATACACTCCCCTCTCAAATACCTTACATTTCCATACCTTGCTGTTATTTATTCATATTCTACTAATTAGGACACTGGTTAAATTAGGAACACTGGTTATACATATATGATATGATATGCATGGGAATAATAATATATTATATATGTTTACTTATGGCTGTGTACATATGTTATTGGATATCGGCATGTATAGTAGTAACGTTATGATAATATATGATAATATACCACGGTTACGGTTAAAGTGCATTGCCTACCTGTGGCATTGTGTACATTATGGGGATGATACTCGCTACAATCCCCCCCAGAACTCTTACTACGTCAATTTATTCATATTTATGTATATGTTCCACATTAGAGTACATTATCTAAAATTCTCATACCCCCAGGAACTCGAATACCCTCGGACGGGTCGCCTAAACTAACCCCCCCCTACCTAAAAGACACCTGAATTCTCTTACATAGAACCAGTGCTCAATTTTCTACAGGTATGTTGATTTGCACGTTTTTCTTTTTCAACACGGCCATGTTAGTTATTTCCCTACCCCTTAATCCTAGCGGTCCGCGAGGCCAACTCCCATCCTCCACTTCGAGGTACTATACACCCCTCGGGCCAAATCATAGTTAGCCGCCTCGCAAGTTATATAAAGAGGGCGACACCAGTCACCACCAAATGCCCCCCCCCCACACGCATGGAGAGGCTAACGACCCATCAACGGATAGGCTACCCCACCTCTTGCGCCAACTCATAGATAGAGCCTCTCAAGCCACTTGGCACTAGCAGGGCCTCACCTGTCACAAACCTAGAATAATATTTCGCCATCTGGCACTAGCTAGCCACCCGTCAACTCCCAACCCTGATTACTATACATATCTGTTATATTTTTCAGTATGTCCCTACTACCAGATGATGGTGAGGATATGTCAATCCCTAGCACCCCTGCTAGGTCACCAACTCCGACCCGCAAGGGCGATACGGGAAGCCCCTCGTCCATCAGATCATGGACTATCCCCCGCATCACTGCAGAATTACACAAACGCAGCATTCCTTTCCCAGCTACTGCCAGGAAAGCAGAACTGTTCAAGTTGCTAAGAACCAATACCATTAATACAGATGCAGGGGAAGGCACAAGCAACTCCCAAGATCCGACTCTCCATGCTATGTTTGCCTCCCTAGTCTCTTCTATGGGGAAGGTCAAGCACAGGCTGGAGAGGCTGGAAGCCCGTAGCTTCCCCGCACAACCTCCAGGACCTCTGTCCGAATTAATCCCCGCCATACCCACAGCAATAATGGGTAAATCTATAGCCACAAAAGCAGCCGCCCACGTTATTAACCCCGCACACATGGTGCCGGCAAATCTTAAAAAGGACATCCTGGAAGGCAAGGACGTTAACTTAGTCTCACTGCTCATTGCCTCCCAGGATATCGTGGAAAACCGGTCTTATGACTATGGGGACATCTCGGTGGTTTTAAAAGTCAGAGACCCCAGACTCAGTAAGAAACTTGCCATTCCTGATTTCGTGCTGGCTTTCAGTATCTTTAGAGATGTTCTATACACGGCTCATCCCAATAGAAGGGAGGAACTCGATCTATATATGCACAAGCTGGTGGACCTGGTGGACCTATACTTTTTACGATTACCACAAGTCAATTTCATCAAAAGTGTCTGCCACATTGTCTCAGTATGGCATCCAGATGGATTGGAGCCAACTGGACAATGAGCTATTCCTCAGACATTTCACAGGTCTTAGGACCCCAGCTTGTGCCATATGTACATCTCCCGCTCACGCACCTAATTTCTGCCCGCTCTGTCCGGACAGCACTCCCTGCCCATCCCTGCATCATCCCACTAAGTCTGAGAAACAGACCAGAGACAAACTGGGTCGTCCAGTGGTGTATCTAGGCAAATCTCAGATTTGCAATAATTTCAACAAAGGCTCCTGCGGCTACAGCGCCTGCCGCTTATTACACGTGTGCTCACATTGTTTCAGGGCACATGCGAAATCTATGTGCCCTAATAAAATGTACCAGAAACCTTATTTGTCTCCGGTAAACCTTCCTTTACTTGCATATATGCTATCCACTCACCCCTCTAAACACCTTGTTGATTTTTTATGTACGGGTCTCACCCAGGGTTTTCACACAAAGGGTCATTTACATGCCAACTGGGGTATTAGAGTGTCACAATTTACAGTCTGCCACTAACCACCCTACGGCTGTCACCACACTGTTACAACTGGAAGTGGATCAAGGATTTGTCATTGGGCCTTTTGTTAACCCCCCCTTTTCCAGCTGGAGAACTAACCCTATCGGGCTGGTTTCCAGCAAAAATTCTGAGAAATTAAGACTTATCATTGACTTATCCACACCCCACTCCTCTGCCATCCCCAGCCTAAACTCATTGATTCCATCTGAGGAATTTTCCCTACAATACTCCATTATTGACGACGCTACTGCAGCTATCAGATCTGCAGGGTTGGGGGCTTGGCTCAGCAAGACGGATATTGTGAATGCTTTTAAATTATTACCTATACACCCCTCTCTGTGGCACCTGCATGGCGTTAAGTGGCAGGACTCCTACTACTTTTTTACAAAGCTCACTTTCGGTGCCAAAAGTAGTCCCAGGATTTTTGACACGTTTGCAGAAGTTTTGTGTTGGCTTCTCCTCAATACCTGCAGGTGCCCAAATGTGATACACTACTTAGATGATTTTCTTTTCATCTAATCCAATTCCACCCCCCCACGTAGCCTAGACAAAGCAACCAAACTATTCACATCCCTTGGTGTTCCCGTGTCACCCACTAAAACCGAAGGACCAGATACATTGATTAACTTTCTGGGTATCCTGCTGGATTCATCAACTATGATGGCCAGCCTCCCTAGAGGTAAGGTAGTTCACATCCTACACGATATTAGCCACTACATGCACAGGGGGTCCTGCAATCGTAAAGAACTACAATCACTTCTGGGTTCACTAAATTTCGCCATGCGCATAATCCCCCAGGGCAGGGCTTTCATTTCTAGGCTCCTCGCCCTGTTCCCCACTTTCACCAACGACCATGTCCGCATATCCTTAGACTGTCCTGCGACCGCTGACCTCCAGATGTGGCACAAATTCCTCTCGGAATGGAATGGGAGGAGCATGTTCCTCCGCAGTTTGATTCACAGTCACCGGTCATTTGGACAGACGCAGCGTCATCAGCAGGATATGCGGCCATCTTCGGCACAGAATGGCTCTGGGGGACCTGGCCGGCAGAAACACAGGACATTGAGGGTTTTCACACTAACTCAGCCCTATTTGAAATATACTCTATAGTTGCTGCAGCCGTCACTTGGTGTAGGTTGTGGAAAGGTCAGTCCGTACGCTGATTTTCCGACAACCTGGCAATATGCCACATTATCAACAAAGGTCGCTCTTCCTCCTTAGCGATTATGAGTTTCCTTAGGAAACTGACATGGCTGGCAGCTACCCATCAGTTCCACATTGTATGCTCTCACGTTCCCGGCATATACAACACGGCAGCTGACCAACTCTCTCGCTTTCAATTTCAGGCTTTCAAACTGTCCCTACCCTTGGCAGCTCGTGTAGCAACCCCAGCGCCAACTTTCCAAGAACTTGTCATGGAGTAGACGAATTACTTCAGCACAGTCACGTTCTTACCAAGTTAGCCTTATCCACCAGCACCCAACACGCGTATCACAGAGCTTTTCACTTGTACAAACAATTCATGTCTGACCATCACCTAGCCGACTGGTTCGAGGTTTCTTCACTGATAGCTTTTGCATCTTTTTGCCACCTTAAATTTAAGTTTTCACATAATACTATTAAGCTATACCTCACGGGCATACACCACCATATGTATTGCTCCTTCCCTAACCACAAAGGGTTCTTAACTTCTTACCCCATCCGAACACTACTAAAAGGCATAGCCAAAGCAGACGGCCCTGCAACTCCCACGAGACTTGCCATTGACATTAAACTGTTCAAATCCTTGTCCGACCTTCTCGACCAGGTTCCATTTGAACCCCATACGAATGCGGTCATTAAAACTGCTATTTATCTAGCATTCTATGGGTTTCTTAGACCAAGAGAATTCACCATTAGTGGCCAGCACCATAGCCAAGGGTGCCTCCTCACCTCCTACCTCAGGAAACACACCGACTACTACGTTCTGACCCTACCTAAGACCAAAACATTTCAGATGGGGGAACCTGTGCACATAACTTACTACCCCACAGGGAACAAGTGGTGTCTGGTGCAAGTACTAGAAGCTTTCCTAGCTACAACGCCAACACGCACCACAAAACCACTACTAAAGCTACACGACGCAATTCTAACCACAGCAAAATTCATGCTGTATGTCCATATGCTTATCACCCGACTTGGTCTCAACCCTAGCAACTACTCTGGGCACTCCTTCAGAATTGGAGCGCCCTCCACGGCATCTAGCCAAGACATTCCAGCACACGTAATTAAGACTCTGGGTCGCTGGAAGTCTTCGGCTTACACCACTTACATTCCTAACCCAGTCCAAGAGATTAGGAGGGTTTTCATTAAAATGTCTATTTAAATATGTAATGATGTATTATGTTTTCCGATTAAATGTTATCTTTGATTTATCTTTTTTGCCCACTTTATTTACCGGCCTACAGCATACATCGGTTTCGGCA